TTTTCTGTAAATATTTATTAATTTGGATCACAGTAAATGATATTTTGATCAGGTGGTTGTAGAAGCCAGAAAAAAAAAAGATGTTTAGATTTACATAATAGGACAGTGATAATAAGAAATTCAACACTTATTTTCCTTTAGAGTTTATTGTATGTTATCTTTGTGCAGGCTACATGGCAAGAAATGTTCACTTTTCATCTCTCTGTTCAGAAGTCTAAAAGCTGTAATTTAAGGGAGACTCTAGACATCTGTATCTACTATTGCAAGACTAGATAAGATCTTCTCCTATTTATGCCTTAATCCACATGTGATGATTTTCTGCTAGCTATGTTAGGTTTATTATTTTATTAGTTTATTATCTTAGTATCTGGAAAGACATTTATAATTGATCTTAATTAAGGCAAGGTCATGCCTATTATAAATTGCTAGTCTGGAATTTACTTCCAAGATTTCAAAAAATATATGATTCTCCAGGAAAATCTATTACGATTACAATATAAAGACTTATTTATTTGAGGCAGTAAATTAAAGGGCAATATATTAGATAATATTTATTGCTTTCTAGCTTTATAGGTGTAGTTCCTATGACTAAAGTAAGTGGGAGATAGTACTTAAGCACCTCTTTTTATAATAAATTATTCCTTATTAATATTCAAATACCATGTGCTCCTTTTCATTAACCTCCTCAATAGTCATCTTCAAACTGGATTTTATGAAATTGACTTTCTTTTGTCAAACCATGATCTCAAATAATATATCATCTTTCCTGAGTGAAACCTAATCAAGAAAGCATGGTAAGTTTCCATCAGAGCTTTTAAATGAAACATACATTTAAAAAATGCAGGGTGAGTCTAACAGAAATTTTTCGTAATTTGGAATCTGAGTCTTTTCTCTCACCATAACTCTGAAGAGTCACTTGACAATGTAAATAGTATTTTCTTCACTGGCCACTGAGACTTTATTTTTCCTTAAGGAAATTTTCTAGAAATTGGAGGAGTTGGTACCATTGGGGGGACTATTAAGGAATGTATAGACTTTTGGTTTCTTATGTAAAGATCTTAAGAGT